CATTTTAGTGTTTTTTTCACCATTTTGAGGTGCTGTACTTTCATAAACAGTATGCAAAAAAAATCCTGCATAGTATGCCTTTAAAAGGGTAAGTAGAATTCTCAGTTACTAGCAGCCTATTTGGAATCAAAGGTAAACTACTTGTAGCTGGAGAGTCAAAACCTCCTTCCGCTAGAATGCTGCTTCAGCAAGCTTGCCTTCAGATGCTGCTCACAAGGACTGCCTGGTGGCTGGGAAATCTGAAATATCAACAAGGAGCCATTTCATTTAATGCTCTGCACCTGCAAGGGCAAGGAGCAGAGTTGGAGCTGACTTAGTCACTGGGACCTCAATCTGGAAATCCATCGGTTAAAAAAAAACTTTTTTTTGTTCCTTCCTTTACTTATGGAGGCACAGCCCAGAGTTTTTCGACTAACGGAAGTGCAGGGGCCTCGGCGATTGCTCACACCCTTCACTTCCGGCGGTGCCCCCAGGGAATCGCCGTGTTGTTTACAAATACTTCGGGTAGAAAACCAGCAGAGTTTAGCTATATATCACATTTTTCACATCACTATATCACCGTTTAGACTAATCTGATGTTTGTTAAGTCTATAAACACAATGATTGAACAAACATTACTATTTCTGTGTGCACGTTTTGTAGGCTAATTAATAACATGGTTATCATAGATTAGCTGGGCTAACCGTTAGCTGTTAACGTTAGCCATTAGCGGTGTCTGTAATAACCATAGACTATATAAAAATAAGGTAATGACTGAACAAACGGTGCCGACAGATTCTACAATGTAAATTGCAGAATCTGTCTTGAGAGATTACTGGGACCTTGGCAGTATAAAAAGGCACCTGGAATGTGAAACATCACTTCTCTGTGGGGGAGGGGGCAGAGTGTTGGCTCTGGAACTGTTGTGCTTGATAAGGGGTGGTCTTCTTTTGTTAGAGGACAGTAAGATCACTTTGTTACTTACCAACTGACGTGGCTGGTACTTATGAAATATATACAGTACATAGAAAAAAATTCTTGCTGATTTGTCAGTGTTGTTTTTCCATCTGTTTTCCCCTCCAGCGTAACTAACCAACATTTATTAATCTGAAAATAACCACATAATTTGTCGTTCTTACTGAGAATCATGGGTGCAGAGGAAAATACTCCCGCCAGTACAAACTAAGTAATGTTTCTATCCACGTGCCTGGAGGACAAGGAGAAAGATCAACATTTTCACTGAGCAATTTTTCAGACTCAGCATGCCGTGGAATCCTAAATAAAAGCTTCCCACCTCCAATTTTATATAATTTTGTCCACCCCCACCCCATTTCTTATGCACCCTATAAAAAGACATAAGTCTTGATCACACTTCGGTACAGATGTGGGTGTATACAGCTGCAAACTTGAAGGCAGACATGCACATGTTTCTGTATACTACAGTTGCTGGTGACTAAAGTCCCTTTTCCACCGTAGGACCATTTATCATTAACCCAGGATTTTGAAAAACCTCGGCGCGTTTCCACCAAAATTACTCAGGGAAAAAACTTTCCCTCAACCCCAAACTTTCCCTGAAAAAAGTACCTATAAGAAGGGTAGGACTTTTCAGATTACCAGGAATTCTTGGGGGGCGGGGCTGTGTGCTGAAGAATGCTGATTGGTGGAACACACTTGCAATGTTCCGCACTTCCTGGCACGGGCAGCCGCTGCAAACTTTATTTAGAATAGAATAGAAATTTATTGTCATTGCTCCAAAAAAAACAATGAAAAACAGTTTGGCAACTCCAGTATTGCAGCAGCAAACATCATACATACATTCATAGCAATAAAAGAGATTAAAAGTGCAACTCGTGCAGACAGTTCAGTGCAATTCAGTTCAGTGCAATTCTCAGTTAATTTCTACAAGCTTCACTTCGTTTGGTACCGAAACCCAGTACTAAATTAGCCCCGGGGCTAAATTATCAAAGACCGTAGCATTGATAAGCGCTAACAGTATCGGTTCTTTTGTGCCAGCACTGAACTCCTCCACATACACAAACATCTACACACAAACGTGTACAAGACACAGTAACCAGTGAACAGCTGAGTGGCCTCGGTGGAAACGTGGTGAAGATAACTCGAAAATTACTAAATTACTATGTTACTGTAAGTGAAATTAAACCTTGGCGAATAAGAAGCCAATACTTTATCAATACATGTGTTCAGCAGGCATGAACATGTAAATATGCAGACAGCGATATTCAATATGCTCTGCTCTCATCCACCGTCACTAACATTATGTTTTACACAAGGACAGCATGCTAGTTCGGCTGATAGCGAATTGTTACTAATAAGCTCAAATGACGGCTGTCTGTATGTAGACTAACGTAGTTTGACACTATCTTAAAATACTTTTAAACTTAGCTGCTGGCTGAGACAAACAGCCCCAACTCTCTACACCAGCATGTAACCAGCCAAGCTGGTGGAGCCAAATACAGGGCACATGCTGAATCATCTACGTCATCAGCCTGATTTGAATAAATTTTCCAGAACTTTGAGGTGCGCTGGAAACGCAAACCACACAGATTACCAGGAATTCTTTTACCCAGGTAAATAAATTCCTGGAAATAAAAGTTCCTGAAATGTTGGCGGAAAAGGGGCTTATGACATGCCAATATGCTGATATGTAGCAGGTCTAATATTTTAACTATATTTACAGTTGTAGCATTAATTAGCAAATGTTAGCATTTAAACATTTGCTAATGTTAGAATCAGCAAATTAGCCTTTTAAAAATGGACCTCCCACGGATGACAGGGAAAGATACTTGCTGTTTACATAATCCTGTATGTATAGATCGATCTAGAATAAAAACCACAACAGCTTAAACACTCATTATTTTAGCAGCAGAAAGCTAAGGTGTCTGTCTTCCTCATCATCACATCATTATCTTATGTTACCTTTCTTTATGTGCCGTGCAAATGTAGTATTTCACTGGAAATACACTGGAATTTCCCCATTACGGCCAAGGGAGACCGTTGTTTGCATGATCCTGGATATATCAATCTAAAATAAAAATGATAATAGCTAGAGAATTCATACTTTTTGCCATCAGTGAGCTAAGGCTTCTGTCTTCTGTGTCATCATGTTGTGCACTCCTATGATGTCATTGCACCAGATTGTGTGTAACATGCAACAGTGAATGGCTTTTCACTCTGGTCATTAAAATAAGCATATCTCAAAAAATGAACAATGTACAACGTTGGAGTGTAAGAAATGTTCTCTTTAAATACTTTCTCCTTTAAATGAAATGTTTGATCCTTTTTTTTTTGACGACACATTTCAATACTTAAATCAATTATTGTGGTTTATTGATGTACATCATCTTTTAGCTAGGTTGTATAGATAATAACTGTTCAAAATTTCAGTTGCTGAGATAATTTAGTCTGAACCAAAGAGTTTGACTGACAGACCAACCAACATTTCATCCCCACTCAACTGAACACTGCAGGAACAGTACAGATATTTTTTGCTTAAGTATTCTTATAGTGGATAAAGCTACTTTCACATTTTAAGTGTACTGCATTGCGCAAGAAAAAAAATTGCTCAAGTAAACAGAAGGGCTAGGCCCAATTATTCCTGTTTACCTGTCTCACCAATAATACGCTGCCCCTGTGTAATAATCTGATTCCAGATAGCTCATGGTTTAATCATATCCTGATAAACACATGGGGACATGACAGTTACAAGATGCTCAGTGGGTTTCCACTTGGTGTGAAATGTGTCGTATGAACTTTAATCAACCCCAAAACAAGCTGTGACAAGCCATCAGTCTCTATACACAGACTGGTGTGATTACACCCATAGTCACACATGAGGAAGTGAATCACTCACTCTTGAAACTCAACAAACTAACAATGTAATGTGACACCGCTTGCTGCCTTCCTCCTACTCCTGCCCCTACTTCACTGCCCCCTCATTTCAGTCCTCCTCCTGTCTTGTCTCTCACACTCTCCATTCCACACTGACCATTTTTTTACTGGCTAAGTGGTGGCCTCTGTAAACTGACCAGTCTGTCTTCTGCACCCACATCCCTCTGTCTTTCTGTGGGAAGGATGGAGCGGAAGTGCAAAAGATAACATCTCTTAAGTGCTTTTGGAAAAGTCCCCCATCTCTCATGTGTATTCACCCTAAAGCTGTATAAGGGTTACATCATATTCTAATGCCTGAGAGGGACACTTGAAATAAATGTTTTAAATTGAATGTTGCTTAAGTATCTAAAGTGACAAAAAAGTAGTGTAATCAGTAAACGCATTACTTTACACACTTTAACACTGCAAAGTATCTTATTGCTTTCAAATAGAATAGAATAGATTAGAATAGAATAGAAATAATTTTATTCATTCCTGAAGGGAAAATTATCCAGCAGCTCATAAAAGACAAAAAACAACAACCACACTTCCCCTCATCAACAATACAGTGGTATTAAAATATACATAAAATAAAATAAGTCAAAATAAATGCATAAATAAGAATTTAATTAAACTAAAATTGCCCATTCCACAGTCCAGTCCAGTTGTGGATAATGTCATCTGTGTAAGTGTGTGTGACCGGATTCAGGAGGTGTTTAGCAGTCTTATTGCCGTGGGGATGAAGGATCTCCTGAAACGCTCAGTTCTGCAATGCTGCCAACGCAGTGAGATGAGCCAACTGCTGCAGTTGTTCCTCTATTGCTCCAGGAGGCTGTGGAGAGGGTGTCTGCTATTGTCCATTATAGCTTTCAGTTTGTTCAGTGTGCTCCTCTCCACCAGTTCTTAGTGGGTCCAGTCTCCTGCTGAGCATGGAGCCAGCTTTTTTAACCAGGGGCCTGTTGTTCGAAAGTAGAATTAAACAATCCAGGATAAGTGGAAAAGTGAGGCTGGACAAATTCCCCTAAATCCATCCTGGCTTAATTGGTTGCTCGAACACCAAGCCAGGCTGAGGGGGCGCGGCTTTGTCAAGCCAGGTGTAACTTATTCAGGTGAGTGCGCGTCCACGGCTTTCTTAAACAGACCCCGAGATCGATCACAGATTCACCGATGCAGCAATGGAGAGGGCACGTGCCGCATACTTCTCACCCAGTGAACAGCGTCTTACCATGGACACTTATGAAGAGGTAAAACATAGTCACGAAGAAAGGAAACACTGAAGCAATATTAAAGCAGAGAGAGAGCGCGTGGCAAACAATTGCGGACCGACTGAATGCGTAATCTAAAAATATACACTTGCGGCGCAAATGAATCTGTCATAATTAGGGTTCCTTCCACAAATTAACAGTTGTACACTTCACCCTAAAGGTGAGCAGTGGAAGTTCAGCAACTGCTGATTTCACACCAGCAGAAGAGCTCGCCCTGGATCAGAACCGAGGCAGGCCGATGATGGAGGACGGAGGGGGGGAAACCGCCCTCTTCATACAAGGTACATTATTCCAGTATACTGTACATGGAATCAATCATTTTATTCATTCGTTAATCAACCACTGGTGTTATGTAGACTGTCTGACTTTGGATTGTCTTGCAGTGTAATACAAATTGACAAATTAAAAGAAAAACTGGACTAAATTGGACTTAGAAATTAAGAAACTAGAAAAAGACGTAAGTGATTTTAATGCACATTGTAAGCATGACACAATGTATTAATCAATGTTATTTCTCTCTTTCTCTCCACAGCTCAAAGCAGACAGTAACTGATTACAGTATTTTTCATTTAAATAAAATGAGGTCAAAGAATATTGTGGTTTCATCTTCATGTTTTCATTCACTGATGTAAAGTACACTGGAGTTATTGGTCCAGTTAACTGGGAATATAATTTGGGAAGGTCATACAGTTATGAAACCTAATAACCACTAATTGTGTTAATGCCAAATACACCTACTTGTATGTTTATTCCAACAATTAATCCTTTTATTGGTTAGGATATGTGCATGTCAAAGTATGTTTGGGCCATGACAAAAATGTTTTAAATGTTAAACTTTTTTTTTATTATTGTAGGCTTAATGTATTTTGTTCAAAAATGAGGCAAATACGTACATAAGAACATGAAATGACGGTAAAACCCATTGATTTCCGATCGCATTGACAGCTGGCTGGACAGATAAGGCACCAGGCTAAACTAAGCCTGGTTGTTAGCCTGCTGTTATGCAGGAGGTCAGGAAGTGATCTACTCCCATCCCCTTCCAACTGGTCTCTCAGTATGGGGGACAGGATAGTATTAAAAGCACTTGAAAAGTCAAGCAAAATGATCCTCAAACAACATCCTGGCTCCTCCAAGTGGGTGTAGGCCTGATACAGCATGTAGAGACCCACATCTTCCACTCCAATGTGCTCCTGATAGGCAAACTGGAGGGGGTCCACAGTGGACCCCCTCCAAGGCCTGCAGCCTTTCCTGTACAGTCTCATGAGCTCCGCCCTCATCTTGTCTGCTGTAAAGGACAGTGGTAGTTGGCCATGGACGGTAGATGTTGTAGTTAAGTTGGTGCTTCACTGTCATGCCATGTCAGCTTCATTAAAAGCATAGCTGCAAATTAAAGCAACAATACAGTAGATGTAAAAACACACAGAGACAATACATCTGTGATCAGTTCCCTAATTTAATTTTAACAATTTTTTAAACTCTTTTCCTCTTTTCCAATTTCTCGTTTTATTTTATGGAAGTGATCAGTGTAAAATTTAATAAAAGATAAAAGCAACAAAATAAAAGACGCGTGGTACATTCGTTACAAGCGTATCAGTTTGTAGCATGGACCGCAGAACGCATCAAGGGGGGGGCATAATTTCAAGTCACGCGGAGGGGGTGGGGGGGCACATACATTGAAACAGACAATATTACTATTGTATTAAATAACGTTGCGAAGCACTTTTTTTATTCCGACGCCACACAGTCACATCTACAGTACACGCTTGAACACGAACACATGCTTGCTCAGATTAACCCCTCTGATCCCACTCTAACATTCACACACAACAGGCCAAGCCTATTTACACATAAACGCACAGATGAAACTATAGCAAACAACAAAGTACATCCAGTCCACAACCACAACCAAAATTCATCTTGCTGCCTTGAAACTAAATCAGTGTCATATTCATTATCATCACGTCAGCACTCATATCAGGAGTGACGGCCGAGATCGAAAAGTGGCTGAAGGTATGTCGATTGCTGCTCAGCGGCATATACCGATCCCCAGACTGGCATAAAGATCCCTAGACTGGTATATACCAATCCCCAGACTGGCATAAAGATCCCTAGACTGGTATATACCGATCCCCAGACTGGCATACAGATTCTCGGAGTGGTATGCTGCTTTTATGCCGCTGTTATTCCACAGACACACGACGGTATGTGCCGCTTGAGATTGTTATGGCACTGAGAGACAGTTGGATGGGTACCGCCCCCTGATGAATATGCAAATTTAATGCCATTGGGCTGGTTTGATGACAAGTACTACCGTAAATGTATACATTTTTTTTTGTCTTTATTGACAATGCTAACTTAACACTTTACCGCAAGTAAAGGAATATATGTATGTTATGTTGTTGGGATGTACGCATATAGACAGTAATTAAACGTGGGACTCTTACGATATGATAGTAAAGTAATATGTCTAAATGTCTGCCTATAAACTACTTAAAGCTAATGAAAGCGCTAGCCTTAGCTAACATGGCTAATGTTAGCCCAGCCACCGTAGCCAGTCTGACTAATCGATAGCAGAAACTTTGAGTCAACCAACAAAACAATACTTAGTGACAGGTTTTCATTATTAGGAGAACACAATAATACATTACTTCATATAAAATTTCCAGTCCGAATTATTGTGTCAAACAACTGTTATATTAATATATTGGGGTATTTTTTTTATGGTCCATCTTTGGATAGTCTGAAATGACAATCCACATATAAAACACTCACCAAAACTCACCTTTTTAAAACAAAAATTTTAATGTATAATTTATCTCTTTCTTTATATTTTCAGTGTGTTTTTATATTTCTGTTTTTAACTTGTAAATTGTCTTTGTGTACCTGAAAAGCGCTATATAAAAATAAATGTTTATTGATTACACCACATATAGTTTTACTATAAATTCCAATTTTTGCTTGAGAGTGAAGCTATAGTTACATAGACATAGGCAGTATTTCCTTTACTCGTATATGAAATGTGTGTCTATGAGTATTTTAGGCTAAGTGGTATTTGACAGGGGTGATATACATAACAAACATTATAGGGTGAAATAATTTTTTATTTTCTAAATAGTAGTACGGTCTCTGGCAATAAGTGTCCATGTTTACAGTGTCTGCGCATGCGCTTTCCAGCTGTAAAGCGTAATTTGTTGTTTTACATTAATGTATGAACATAATACTGTAAACCATTTCCGGTCGAGTACTTTTATTTTGAAGGGACATAACGGAAATGTGTGTGGTCTCAGTGTTTTTTGGTTGTTCAAGGCAAAAGCGCTGAAGACTGAAGTGCGACCCGTTCAGTGAATAGAGTTTCCCGTATCTTTATTTTATTATCCCTAGTAGCCTATAGGCGCAATTACACCCGCTCGGTTACACTACCGTGATCTCTGGGAAATGTGTTGCCGGCTGCACACAGTCACTTATCAATATCACATCTCAGCCGAAAGAAATGATCAAAATGAGTAAACAAATTTAATGGTGACTTGTGACACATTCATTTTATAACCGCATCTTCAAATTAACATTTGCATCCCAGTTGGTAGCCACTGGCGTCATATAAACGACATATTCCTGTGGCTCATCAGTGGTATGTCCATGCCTAAAGGCTTATGCCGCTGGAAGTAAAGGCTTATGCCGCTGGAAGTAAAGGCTTATGCCGCTGGCTTATGCCGCTGGAAGTAAAGGCTTATGCCGCTGGAAGTGAAGGCTTTTGCCGCTGGAAGTAAAGGCTTATGCCACTGGAAGAGTAGTGGTATGTCCATGCCTAAAGGTTTATACAGCTGGATCAATTGCTATATCGATGCCCAAAGGCTTATGCGCTGGATCAGTGTGTCGATGCAGGACATCATATGGTGCTGAAGCAGGAGTGGTATATGTAACATATGCTGCTGCACAGACATGTGTAGAATAGCATGATCCAAGACCTAGATGAAACATAGGAGTAACAATTAAATTGAGACACAAAAATTCCAACATTTCTTATCACAATAAGTATACAGTAAAACTATTATTTATTTATATATATACAGTACAGGCCAAAAGTTTGGACACACCTTCTCATTCAATGTGTTTTCTTTATTTTCATGACTATTTACATTGTAGATTCTCACTGAAGGCATCAAAACTATGAATGAACACATGTGGAGTTATGTACTTAACAAAAAAAGGTGAAATAACTGAAAACATGTTTTATATTCTAGTTTCTTCAAAATAGCCACCCTTTGCTCTGATTACTGCTTTGCACACTCTTGGCATTCTCTCCATGAGCTTCAAGAGGTAGTCACCTGAAATGGTTT